ACGATTACAGGAGTGTAACAAGGAAAGATTAAACAGGTTCTCATCCCCATGGCTCAGATGTTTTGTTATTTAGCAGAGACCACCTGGTGCACATCAGAGAAGACTTCATCTTCTCACTATGGCCTTCCAGGTTTTAGAGGTTATACTATGGTTTGGGGCTTCTGACACAAAAACACATGCAAAGGGCTTCCTAGCAGGAAATTCCTAGCTCCTTTATCTGGGGAGCCAAAATTAAGTCTTGCTAAGACACCTTTCCTACCCTCACCCCTTGGATTATCTCCCAAAACAAGAGGAACCGCAAAGGAGCCTGTGACGACGGAAAGGGAGAATCTGCCAGCAGCAGAGGGAAGCAGGGGTTGCTCTGTGCGTGCGTCACTTGCTGCAGCCTGTCTGGGGTGATGGTGCTGTCAGCAGGAAAGGGTTACCAGGAGAGGTGGGGCTGCAGAGCTTTTCACCTTTCACTTCCCAAACTTTTACGCAGCTAGGAATAGGCTGCAAGTCCATTCCCATTTCTGCATTTAGGATAGGTCTTCTTCAACTTTTTTAACTCGAAGTCCTGGGTTTTGGGTGTTTGTTTGTTGTTTTTTTTTTTTGGTTTTTTAGGAAGAAAGAAAGAAAAAGTCAAGCACACATACCCTTGTTATAGATTTGCATTTCAAATACTCCAAACTTCTTTAATGCCTTCGACTTGACATGATTTTTGTCTTATGGAAAAGACTGTTTCCCTGGAATCTATATCCCAATTTATTTCCAAAAAAGAAGAACAAAAGATAAGTTTTAACTTGGTGTTGATGCAATATTCACCCCACCCAGAACCAACTTTGAAAGCTCATGTAAAAAACATGAAGAGTAATTTTTACTTAGCTCTTGTTATGAACAATTCAGAGATAAGAAACAAGGCAAGACACGTCTCAGCTGCAAGTGTGAACATGATCTCAACACTGCAACATTTTCCTTGCCTGGCTAGAGATGGGTTGGCAGCATGAGGTATATGAAGGTAGGTTACAGGTGACAAGAATGTAAAAAGCCTATTATTAAACTAGGTGTAAGCAGTCTTGGAATTCATTAGGGCCAGAGAACTCAGCCCTGGACATTGCACCTGCTTGATTATTCGCTATTAAACAAATGCTGTAAACTTAGCTTCAAGTTGGAGAGCATTCAAATGCAGCTCTTCCTGCCCTCTGACTGGGCAGTGGGTGGAAAACAATATATGTCATGGACAAACTCCATGTGCTTTCCTCTTCCAGGAGAGAAGCAAAGTCTTTATCACAAGTTTTCACCAGGTGCACAGTCATTTGCTGTCCTCCAACTGCAGCTACAGAAAGGGAGTGAACTGCAGTGTGTTAAAGGTGTATTTGAGCACTGACCTATTTTTGTTCATCTGCCATGGGAGAGACATGTGGAAACATTGTGGTTTGATGGATTTGATTAAAAATATGCTAATGAATAAAGAAAATTAAGTGCATCCCTTGGGCTCCTGGCAAGCTGCCAAGACAGACACTGGGACCACCAACAGGGGATCCTTATGCTTCAGCTTTTGCAATCCTTCAGATTCCTGCTGTGAAGGATGGTGACCCAGCGGAAATGGGGCTTAAAGTTGAGTGGTTTGCGTGTCCTGCCTCCACTCCTCTCCAAATGCCACAGTATTTTAAAATCTATGCCCCAGGTGCTGGAATCAGCATGCATAAGAACATCTTTGTTTTCACTGAAAAAAGTACTTCTGCCATCATTGTTAAAGAAAGGGTGAAGCAAGGGTACTCAAAATGCTTGGAAACAAAAAGGCTATGAAAGAGAACTCCAAGTTCATTTTCTAAACCAAGTTCATTATTTCTAAACCAAACGCAGTTTTGGAGGCCTGACTTATGGTTTTTCAAGCTCCTGAGGCAAAGCTGCAAATGTGCCCTTTATTCCCACGCAGGAGAAGCTCTGCCTGCCCTCCTCCCTCCATACTGCTCAGAGAGGGAAAGAGGGAAAAAAAGGCAAATCAAAACAACTCAAGCAGGGAGTGTTACCCTCTGCTCCACAACTGTTTACTGCACTACTGTCATCATTCAAATGGATTTACTGAAGGTATCACATAAGAAAGCTCTAACCTGGCTGCAGGAATAGGTGAATCACAAACTCTGCTGCTATTCTTCAGGTAGGAAGCAGCTTTCATTAGCAAAGTCTGAATCGTTCAGTTCTCCTAGTGCTCATAATCCTTCCGTGAATAGTTGTTCTTCCCACGGTGTGATTCATTCTCCGTTGTCCTGCAGTCTTCAGAGCCGGAACGGGGCAGCCAACCATAGCTGGAGATGCAAGTGCCTGTCACCCAGTGGCCCTGCTCAGCACCTAATTGGGGCACAGTCACCAGCAGTGAAAGGAAAGAAGGGTTCATGTTTCATTAAGCTGCCGGAACCCAAAGAGAACCAGGAATATCTGAAACCCTTAAGCAGGTCTATACAGAAATGAAAGCAGAGACCCCAGAGTGAAAGAGATTCTTCCACACCCATGACTAGGGCACTAACTAGAAGAATAGCTGTAATTAAAACCAAACACCTAGTCCACCCTGCAGGCATTTTTTCAGCAACCTAGTAGGTTTTGGTTTTCATAGCACCAGTTTCCAAGCAGAAAACAGCTTTAACTTCTGGTTTCTGAAGACTGTCACTGCGGGAAAGGATTCCTCTATCAGGAAGGTCTGTGTCTGACCAGGACCATCTCTCTCAGGTTCTCAACAGCCTTTCTAAAACTGAAAAGCCAAACGTTTAGGGGTAAAAAAAATTTCAGAATTTCTTGGGCAATATTGCCGTGATGGTTTTCATTTATAAGCAAGAAAGAATTTGGTTATTTTTTCATATAATTACTCCTTCCCCCAGTCCACAGTTGTTTTCCTTGTTTACACATATAGAATTGTAATGCCATCATTTTGTGGGGAGTAATCATATTACAGAGCACTCTTAAGAGACCACAGGTTGAAACACTCATCCAAACAGCAGGTTCAGTTTGTTGTATGTGTTTTCCTTTTTAAAACAAAAACAGAGCACTATTAAACAGTAGGGAGTAACTTTCCTTGTCTCTCCATGCTACATGTGTGCACAAGTTTGCCCTTGGATTCTAGTATTTGACCTATGAAGCCAACATGCTTAAAACCTCCGATACCCTGAACGCTAGACTTTAAACACAAACTCTATAAACTCTGATTATATCAAAAACATGATTCTGCCTCAAAGCCAAGTAACAAAGCTCATTGAAAGGAACTTACCGTAAACTCTGGAGATTAATCAGCTCTGTCAGGAAGGCAAGCGCAGAGCACATGATCCCAGTCTCACCTCAACATTTTACTTCCAAACCCCTTTGAGGTTACAATGCTTAAGGGGCCATTTGCTGGTATATCCCCAGTAGATCCTATTCCCATAACAGACACTGAGTAGCTTGGGGGTGGGGAGGAAAGACCGAGGGCCGTGGGGGAGAGAAAGGAGGGGGGTAATCTCTGCCCCGCCCCCAAATTAAGCCTTTATATTTCAAAGAAAGCCCAGCATCTGTAGTCACCCTTAGAAACAAAATGTTTTGTGAAGTACTCCACAGTCTCATGGAACAATAAGTATTCTTTCTGGCATGCAAATCAGTGCTCAGTGAGCAGAACAAACTTACACTTGCAATGCAAACTGGTTTAATGCCATAGAAAACGTAAATCCACCATCCTCATGAGAAATTGGGTGTTCTGCTGCACAGAAGAATGTTTAGGCAAGATTTAACATTAGCATTTGCATGCAAAAGGAAAATTTAAATTTAGAACAAGGTCTCATACTGCATGAGAGAATCATACAGCAGAGTAACAAAACCAGAAGAATTTAGCTAGTGTAGATTTCTACACGTAAGTCAGGTGGCAGATAAATAGCAGTGACTTGTACGCTCGTCTGAGCATGCTGAACAGCCCCTCTCCGTGGTAGAGCTTCTAACTCCTAAATCCACAAGATGGAGCCAGCAGTTCTCAGGAAGAGCTGACTGTACCATCCCAGGAACTGTCAGAGCACTTAGCTCACAGAACTACACTAAAGTGTTCTAGTTGGACCACAACACAGGCAAGCACGAAGGCAGAAGCCAAGCTATATCGAGCAGTCATTCTCCAGCTTCATCCTGCTGCATCTAAAGGCAAGCCTGTTCCTTACAAACATCCACAGAGGATCAGAAGAAAAAAAAGCGCCATTCTGGGCTTCGAGCACAGCTATAATACACAGCTGTGCTCAGAGCCTTCTCCTATCTGACACCTTCCATGCTACCCTTTCTCTGCCACAGAATATTTTAAAAGTTACTTCCCTGGAAAGCAGAGCTACATAAACCACCGTGGCAATCTGAAACACAGGGCAAACACCGGACAAACACCATGTTAACAAGATTATGTAAATATGTAGTCCTTGGCCAGAAGTCATCAGCTAGGGAATGTTCCATTTCCAACTTGTACAGCAGTGGCAGCAGAAACTGCACCCCAAGTCTACTGTGAAACTCATTTCCCTGTCACTCCAAATTAAGTGGCATTAGGTTGTCATGAGTCTCTCCTGAGCTATCCTGCCTCAGAGACATCTCAGCTTCTCTGCTGCAGTTCATTCATCACAACCCTATGTGGAGAATGGAGTCTGGCACACTCAGAAGACTAAGGACCAGTTTTCCCATATAGCATTGCTTATTCTGTTATTTGAGCCACAAGACTGAAGGAAAGCAACTCTGTCATTTACACAGTTGATACAAGCTGTCTGATCTAATTAGACTGTGGAAAATTAATTGTGAATGAATCAAACTACTATGTCAGTTCAGTCCTGAAAAACATGCATACCATTTCCAGAAAACCAATGATGAGGGTCTCAGTCACCTCTTCCTCTCTCTTCCCACAGTCTGCAATACAATCTTGTTATATATTTGACAGAAAGGTTAGTTCCAGACACTGAAAGTCAGTGGTTGGCTGGTTCAAGAATTTGGGGATTAGACATGCTTTTAGAATGCTGTAAAAATCAATAACAAACAAATTATGAAGCTCATTTTTTCTTTTTATTATCAATAGTAATACAAATCAGTTGTATTAGCATGATAATGAAAAGTGACCAGTTTTACAGACATTAGAAATGTTTGTGCAAGTTAGAGACAAAGCTCTGAAGCTATGTAAGGAAAAAAATAAGAATTTACATCATATAGTATAGCATACATAGTTTAGAGGCAGTTTTATTAAGTCTTGCAATCACAATCACTTCCTCTACGCTAAACCTCTCACTTGGTGTTAGAGATAACACCTTCCCCTCCCAAGAGGAACACCTGCCATTTCCATGAAGTGTGGAGATTACAGTGAAAAATCAAAGCTTTTTTTGTTCCTCTTCCCTCCTTCTCCCAACTATAAAGTCAACAGGAGGTGAACATTGCAACATATGCTTAAAGCAATTAAGGAAAGCTTCTGTCTACATAAGCTCTGAGTTGAACTGATAAACAGTATCCTCTTTTTGAGCAAGAATTGATAGACCTGTTAGGCCCAAATACTGGGTTAATGCTTTGGAAAACTTTAAAAAAAGATCCAAGTGAGCTTTTAGTTAGATGCATTTCCCCCCTACATCCCTCTCACTACGTTCCAGATTGCAGCTTTGTACCTTAGACCTAAAGTATTCTTAAGCATTATACTTAAGCCAGATAAGATTCAACTGGAACTTCAGATGGTTATAAACATGTTGCTTAAGTTTAATGCCTAGTAAATGTATGCACACATCTTTCTCTTCAAGCCAAGTGTTCACCTAGAAATTGCAGTAAAGGTGTATTAGTCTGTATAGAACACGTGGCACACTTCATGCTGCATCTGTACTCTCACCTGGAGAGATGCTCCTCTAGAAAAAAAGAAGAGTCAAGTCTGCCATTGCACTCCTGCAGTTTAATCTGCTTTTTTCATATAATGACTTAGCCCTTGTGATAACAGGGGCTTGTCTCAGATGTTTGCTCTGCTCAAACGAGAAGGAAAACGAGCACTTGAACGTCCACAGCTAAGCCACATATGGAAGATTGCACGTAGCAGTAAACAGTTCCCTGACTTTATGTTAAGCCATTATGCAAGAATAATACTTGAATGCTTAAGTGCAAGTGCATAGTCAAGTCTTGCATGACCTCCAGCTTCAGATATCCAGTTACTTGCCTACAGCCATGCTCCAGAATGATTTAAGAGCACAGTACACCGATGAAGAGAAGTCTTATTCTTTAACCACCCAACACGCAAAAGGTTGCTAGAATCTTCACTACAGCCCTCAGTTGCCTCAGCTACACACCATGGCTAGCAGGCAGCCACACACACCCCTCGTCAAAGTCATCCTTATTTGAGGCACCTGATCTGCAGTTACTCATTTTGATTAGAAGCAAAAGCTTCATTTACTCTGCTCACAGGAATCCCATTTTATCTCTGCGCCATTTTATATTCACTCCACTCAACCCACCTGATGCTGATGTCCATGGATGTCCAGTGAAGCACACCTGGAAGCCATTCAAGGACCCTCAAGTCATATTGCCCCTACTTAGAAGGGCATACATTCAGGCACTTCCACTATAGGAGGTGGAGGCAACAGGATTCCAGTCCAGGGGACCCTTCCTGGTACAAGTCAGAATGCTTGTTGCCCACTGTTACAAACTCAGCAAGGTAGCTGCCTCGTTTATCCTGTTTTCAGCTGTAACTGGAAAGTTAAACTGAAGTTTTTCACGAGTACAGAAGAGGAATAGTGAAAAGCTGCTTTACTTAGTCTCCAGGCCTGGTTTTTCTGGAGCGGGTGACAAGCACAGAACACTGAAGAGACGCAGCACCAAGCCATGAAGCAAGCACCTTCTCCTAAGTCCATCTCAGTGGTGTAGCTTTATCAGTTGGAACAAAAAAAAAAGAAAAATAACCTGAGTGAGAACAGCACATGGACTGTAAGAACACTAGTGGGAGACTTGCTGTTCCGAGAAATTCATCTGTCCTATCAAATACTGTCAGGTACTTTAAGACTAAAAAGATCACAGGTCAAGGCATGCAAGTCTCTTGAGCCAATACAGCTGAGCTGCTCATTGTGAGCTTTGCTGAGTTCATTATTCATACAGCAAGGACAGTTTATTCAGTTTTGTTAATGTTTTCCAACCTGCCTTGGAGGGGCTTGACCCAGATAAACTTGTAATGTTAACTCAACTGTTGTTTATCCTTTAGGTTAATTAAGGACTTAAACCTTTAAGTTGCAACTAAAACCAAACCTAAGTGAGTTGCCTTCCTCTGGAAGAAGACATTCATTTGCTGTATGCACTCAAAATGGACTTTTGTCCATGGAAGTTCAAGAGGAAACTTTGATAGAAGTGTTACAGCTCCCAGTTTCCTATGAGGTGCTTCGGCTTTAGACACCGGTGATAGAGCTCAAGTGCAAGGTCTGCAAACCAGCAGGTTTCCAGCTTCTGCTTCAAAACAGTATTGTCGAGTTGGCAATTAATTACACTGCTCAGAGAGAAGCATTTCCAGAACTGGTTAACCATTCTTTCTGCCCATACAAGATAACAGTAACAGAGAAGGAATTTAATTTGACAAGAATGAAGATTACAGCACCTTTTATTTAGTACAGTTTCCCCAATCCAATGCGTTGCCTGACAAGTTGAACTAGTTATGGAAGACAATGAGTTTGTGATAAGTCCCTGTGAAACGTCAGGCCAACGGAGGTTCTGATATCTACCACATCTAACTTTTTTCAAAGTTCAGAGATGGAATGCACAAAAGCAATCTAGTACATGTTAAAAAATATTTTTCAACCTCAAATTACAACACTAAGTACTGAACAGTATTCACTACTCCTTCATCTCAGGAAGAAACACCATTTGTTAATTTAGTGCTGCAGTGTGCTTCATTGAACAACTTGGATTACTTTCACCAAGCCACTGTGTTTTGAGAATCCAGTTACAAGCAAGATACAGTCTGTACTTAAAAGTCTCTCTACTCCTTCAAAGTTACAATTCAGTGAGAGACTCTGCAATCAGAAGACTTACTTTTACATGGTGACAGAAGTGTTTTTTGGCAACTGCACTTAATTTAAAGCTCAGCTCAGTCAGCTGAGAACAGGACCTGCTAAGTACTGACTTTTCCATTTCTAGACTGTTTTTGATGAACAATACGTGACCACCATTGCATAACTGACAGCAAAACTCACCACGTGCTAGGTTGCTGTGCATCAGAAACACTACATATAAAATTAACAGTGAGTAATAGATGTGGCAACTGCTTAACTTCATTTGCTTTTTGACACCATACAACTCACTAGCCAGCTAATCATTGAGAGGTAGCATGTATGCCTCACCTATTCCAAGACATGATTGTGTGATGGGACCCATCCTTACTCAATATTGTTATCTTCAGCAAGACAAGAGACAGATGCAGATGTTCTCACTTTCCAACATTATCATCACAAGTGTTCCAATATAAACAAAACTGATTTAATCAACACTGATTTCCACTATTCCAGTACCAGGGAGAGGAAGGATGAGAGATGTAGAGCGTAATTGACTCTAGACACAATACATGAAAGAAACCAAGGACAGCATTTCAAGGAGATGGTGACATCATTCCTTTTGAGAAAGGCTTATAGTCATTTTCTCACCCAATACCACTAATTTAAGGATGAGAAGACAGACCAGCAGGGAGTGCATATAGCCAGTATTTAAATATCAATTTTTGCATTGCCTAAATAAGTCTGAATTGAGTCCATAGGCTTGATTCATGAATGCTGTATTGACTAAAGGGAACACAGGAGAAAGTTTATTTTGAGTTGACTGTCAACTGTCAGTTGCTATTTCTTACATGGAGTGTGGGGAGGAAGTCAGCAGATCTCAGTGTAAGAAATATCAGTGACAACAGAAGATGGAGACTCAAACCCTTTACCAGGTGTTACATCTAGCCTTTCTGCAGTTTGCACCATCAAGGAGGGCAGCAACAGCGGTGGAAGTGTTTGAACCTGAACAGCTGTGCTTGTTAAGGCCAGTAGAGGTTCAAGAGAAACACAGAGAAACATTAGAAGGAGTTAATACAAAAGTACACTGTGTAACCAAGCAGAAGGACTGTAGTTCTGAAACTGTTTCTAGTTTTGAAAGACACTGGGAAGAAGGAGCCCATTTCAGTTTAAGTAGGCAAAGGTTTTGTTGGATATCAGAAATGGTTTCAAAGTTCTGTTTTCACATTGTGAAGGTGTGATATGCAAAGCAAAAGATAAAGGAGTCAATACAGACTTCCTTTCATGAATCCAGCCCTATATCCTTAGTGGTATATTATCCATGCCACCTGTAGATAGATATTTACAGTTCCCAAGCATCACAGTAAGCAACATCTTTCTTTAAAGCTTTTCTTGTTCTTGCCACTTTTCTTGCCATTCTTGTCTTTGTTTTCTGACATTTTCTTTGCTCTTATTTCTCTCATTAAATCAAAGAATACCTAGGAAGGAAAAATAAAGAGAGATTAAACAAGATCAGCCACCAGAAAGCAGATCAAAACTAGTGTATTCAGCAGCAAATAAAGATGCAGGACCACACTGTACCCAATATAGCTGAAGTGAGTCTGGACACAGATCCCAGTGACAAACTCAACATCAGAATTATGTAGTATGTCAAGCAGGGGCAAAAAAGTTGCACAATCTTACTGGACTATCAAAAAAATTCAATAGGCCTGTTTTAAGAGCTTTCTGTGGAATACCATTCTTGCACGAAAGTAGCATTCAGAGCTCATGAGGACATTTGTCTGTACCTAGCAAACATTTAGAGGCAAATCACTCTTGTTAACTATGAAAAGCATTTAGTCCAGTCTCTTCCATGTAGTTACACATGCACTCTGCTTTTAGTATTCTGCTTGCTTTATAATTACAAAGCTACAGCTGTAAAGTGACAGTGTCAGGTACAAAACATTTTCAGACTATGTCAGAAGAAAGATTCAGACAAAGTCATGCTTTCTTTCATGTTTCACTATTGTTTTCTCCAAAATTCTAGCTGATTTCAGCCCTGTATGCCTGACACCTAGGTACATACCACTTGAGGTGCAACAGCTGTTTTGCTGTAGTTATTGGGAAAAATGATTCTTAGGATTATAGAACAAGAGTTTAGTGTCACTCTGTAGAATTAGGGTGCTTTGTTTTGTTTGTGGGTTTGTTGTTTTTTTTTCAAATGTGGAACTTTCAAGTCTTTGACACTTGGAAACAACACAGTGCCACTGATCAGAAATAGATGATTTATCTTTCAAAAACCTCAAGTTTTTTTTATTCTGCTACTGTATTAATGCACAATCCTCACAAAGACCAATACCTTGTCTTACTATACACAAAACCGCTCATATAGAGGATAACCAGTATGTCACATGAGCTGGGTAGTGAAGACCTATTACAGCAAGTCTAGATCACCCTGCTTAGATCACCCTCTAGATCACACTGCAGACACACAGCTCCATGGCTGTTAATCCCAACTGAACAGAAAGACAGTTTAAGTACAAAACAGGCTTGGCATTTGCTAGTAATATGAGATAGACTTGCTTTTGCCTGTGAGCTAAGTATTCATGTTTTACTATATCACTCAGCTTATGCAACTGATTGTGACTTTCTAGTAACATTCTGCAAGTCAAAATGGTTCTTTACCAAAACTCAGATTGTGCCACGTCCACGTATAACCAAAAGATCTCAATTCAGGAGTTTCATATATACAGTTTTAATGAGAGAAGGAGTTCTTATAAGTAACTTATGCACCAACTGCATTTCTGTTAGTGAACTAATATAGACTAGAAGAACAGGGAGCTGTTTAAGAGAACTTAAGAGTACAGCTAGCTGTAAGAGTTTTTTATCCAAAGAGAAAACTGCTTAAAATTTGTAATTTTTAAAGAAATGCATATTAGCAAGACACCTTTGGAGTTCTTAGGGTGCACAACAGTAATTTCAGATTATCTTCTGTGGACAGATGAAGTAAAAAGGCACCTTTTTGTTCAAGAAGCCCTCACTACACACAAAATCAAGGGGATGACTGAAACTTACTTTTTCCCCTCTACTGGACAAATACTCTATTAGTCATAACTCCTCTGTCCTCTGGAATAGCCCACCACCACTGTTTATGCAAGAAACAAGCCACAGAATAAAGAAAAAATATTAATCCTGTATCAGCAAGGACAAGTCAAAACAGGACAGAAGACATAGCAAGAAGAGTCCTCACAATTCGAAGTAGTCTTGGTAGAAAACAAGTCTTTAAGATTAACCACCCATAGCTTTATGGGGAAGTGGGGACAATTTTTAAGTGTCCTTAGCTTGTTATTTATTGGTGTTATAAACAAAATAACCATACTTCAGGGAATCCTGAGAACTGTTTACCCCCTGTATTATTGAAAAGCTATTGGTTCAGGTACAAACAACTAAAACAAGACAATAGCATTACCTTGTTCCAGATCTCAGGTTCCTCTAAGCTAGATATTTGGTTAAGTATACACATTTCACTAAATTCACTGATTTATTTTTTTTATTATTACAAACTAGGCTTTCAGAAGCCAAACTGTGGATTTGCTCTTGTCCCAGCAAGAATCAGATACTAAACATGCAGTAATGCTCTAATTGAACAGATGTCATTTGTCTTACCTTATCTACATTCGCTCTAGTTTTGGCAGAGGTTTCTACGTACTGCACACCCCATTCCTCTGCCTTACTTCTGGCCTCTTCTACAGGCACTTGTCTGCGCTCCTCCAAGTCAGATTTGTTTCCCACTACCAGTAAAGGAATTTTATCCTCTTCAGCCTTCACACGCAGGATCTGTTCCCTAATGCATCAGGTATTCAAAATAAAAATATCTGTGTTAATAGGATCAACAAAGCTCCCACACTTACCAGGAGTGGCTCAAGTGGTCTGCACATTAATAGTGTCTACAACACAGCATTTCCCAAAAGCTGGACACACACTTTAAAATTATTCCAAGGTTAACATACTAATGCTATGGGCTTTACACTACTGAAAGCCTAACACTTTGAGGAAGGCCGTTTTACCATTTAGTTAGTGAGTTATTAGGCTCTAATAAAGAAGAACTGTGAGGCAGAAGAGCTACTGGCAACAGGAGCTCATACTTGAATGAGGAAAAGAGTATACAAGTGCCATGTCTGCCAAGTTCCACCTTGGCATTCAGTCACCATTTTCAGTTCACAGTCTGCATCACATCTCAGTATAGGTCTCGGCAACATAAAGTCTTTGCCAAGGCAATAGGTTGGGAACAGCCTAAGTAGCTGGCAGAGATCATTCCTAAAATGGGTACCTAAACTCTACACAGAGATGAGAGTGTTACTATGAAGTGCTGAACTAAAGTACTAGCAAACCTTCCTGCATCAAAGACTCCAGGAAGATATTTGAACCATCAGCATTAATCTTGCTATCCTCTGTCATGCAAAGAGGCCTTATCAGCATCCAGGAAAGGAGATGGAGTGATGTTGCATACCAGTCTAAGTCTGTGCTATTACTGGAGTAAAACACAGGTTGAGACCAGACTGACATGTGCTGCTGTCCATCCAGGATGCCGGGAAACTCTACCAGTCTACAGCTATTTTTAGATGGCTTCATTTTGTTATGAACGAGAGCCAAATCAGGCATGAGCATGGTGCTACACCCTCCAATCCTGCTGAGCTACCATACTGCTTCAGATGCCTGCATTTTCCATCCACAAAATAACAATGTATGGACAGTACATGAGACTCTAAAATAGCATTAATACTGGAGCAGACAATCTGCTCTTGCATTCAACTGCACCTTCACAAACTTTCAGATTACAGAGGCACTGAAAGCTAACACTGAATGCATCACATCAGCAGGAAAGCTAGGGTTTAAAAATAAGACCATAGTTTGTTCAGTATTCAATTTTTTCAAAGTTTTAGAATTCTGGAGGTTAAAGGATCAATAATAGCAATCTGCAGTTTGGCCTGTGATGCTGGTGACTCATACTAACCATTCCCTATTCCTTCCTTGGCCAAGGAGCTGGTTCTTGTATGTCAGCCTAGCTAAGTATTCTATTTAACTAATTTCACTATTTAGTTACTTCTGAATCACTGAAAAGTAGGAGATTCTGCATCTCAAAGCTTTTAGGTCCTTCTTGCTCATCTTTGGGACTAGCATTGCTTTTCATTGTTTTGTTGTGCTGGAATCTTGAACTCATACAGTTAATCTAGTTACGGAAGTCTGACAGAAAAACCAAACTGCCAAGACAAACACTCCTACTCTTTTTCATTCCAAGCCCTAAGCCTTGGGTTTAACCTTATATTTCACTTAGGCACACAAACCAAAACCCAAGGTGGGTGCTTACAAGTATCACATTTTCCTTCTGTTCTTTGAGCGTTACCTGATCTTTTCCTCCATCTTACACTAGGAAGAGTCACAGTACTCAGTTTTGCAGTCCTACAGCAATTCAACTCTTGGCTTCTTTCAGTGCACCAGTTAGAGCAAACTGAGCAGAACTGCTTTGCTTATGTGCCCCATGACTGTCGGCCTTCTGAAGCTGAGCAAAGTCACAGAAGTACTATGTGACGAAGGAACACTATTTTTATAGCTCTTAAAAGATTTTGTGGTCTTCTAGTACTGTTGGAACAGTTTAATATGTTAAGAATCTGGACTAAAGTCCTGGAGTGCAAGGGGAGTTTGCCATTACTTTATGAAAAACCTAGAGTTCGGTGTCTACCTTAGTTCCAGCACTTGCATTACCATTTAGTATCTGTTAACCTTGTAGCACTGAAGCAAAGGGAACATTAGGCAGACTGACAGAAAGCTTTTATTTTGGCAAACATAAGGAACCCCTAACACTTTCCCTATGTTTTGGGAAGTTTTCCTTCAAGTTATACAGCTGTCCTAGGTAATCTCCAGATTACCCTTCTACACTGAGGCAACAAGTATCATCAAATAAGTTAGAACACTTGCCCTGAAGAACTTGGCTACATGAATTCTAAACCAGAACAATGATTTAAATCCTTTTTTTTTACCCCACACTACACAAGTAGTTTCCGTGTTCAATCTGGTGTCAACTTTTACATTAGAACTGCTAATCCCAAGAACAAAAATGGAAATGCCTACTACTACCGTGCATCTTTCTAGGAATACGTCTGCCTACAATAGCACATCTTGGCTGCCAACCCTTGTTTGGCACTAATCCATACCTGAGAGTGGAGGCTAATCCTTCCTTTCCTTAGAGCACCTGCTTCTAACAGTAAGCAATACAGAGTCTGAAACCTGGCCAAAAGACAGACTTCATTCCAGAAGTACTGCTCTAAGATAATTAAACTTCACATCCATGAAGACTGAAAATTGGCTTGAATATGCCTGTTTTAGGAGTCCAAGAATCTGTTACTTGCCTGAAGTTGCTGCTGGCATAATGTACTCATAAGTTGTAGGCATGAAGAGAACTAGAGCCAGAGGCTGAACACTGTGGTTTAGGTTACCAGTTACTGAGAGTCAAATGGTCAGGTGTCACTTTTATTGACCAAATGGTAACAGACAAAGGATAAAGAGCTGTAGTTTTTAAGCAGAGCTGTCAGAGTAACACAGGAACCAGATAGCAACAGGGGAAACCCTGCCTGGGAGAGAAACTACTTACCGAAACTCTGCTGTTGCTGTGAAGGATTCATGTTCTGTTATTGAAAAGACTAGAAGAAACCCTTCCCCGCTGCGGAAATAGTTATCTCTGATAGCTGCATAATCCTCCTGTCCTGCTGTGTCCAGAATGTCTATCTGAACTTCTTCACCATCCAAAACTACTTTCTTTCTATAGCTGTCAGCCTTGGTAGGTTCATAGTCTTCCACAAACTGAGGGTGATAAGAAAAGGATTAGTGTTTAGAATTACTGTCAAACAGTCTCAGTAGTTGTCCATATCCCTTCTTTCACTTCAGTGACACTTAAATTCCCCAAAACCTTCTCATAATTCAGCCAGATACTAAGTTCCACCATCTTTTTTTTTTTTTTTTAGTTTTTAGTTTTACTATAAAAAGCAAATTATTTAAGCACTTAATACATCAAAGAGCCAGTTTGCCAAGTCAAGAGAACCTTGCTACACAAAACACTGTTCAGCAACTTTGGTACAAACTGAGAACAGAGATGCAGTGTAAGTTATCGGTAACCTGCTGGCATTATCTAGATCTCACACTTTAGGAAAATGCACCTGAATGTACTTCAGGTACAGGTATCTGAAGCTTTAACAGGTGTAGATGAGAGCATCCAGCTGCTGAAAACAAAAACCTGCTCCATAATTGCACAGGCACCTACTTTAGTCCACTCGATATTGATCACTCCCACAAAGCCACTGCCAGTTCAACTTGTAGTTCTGTGCTGACAGCACACATACAACATAGGCTCCTTACCTCTGCACCTCCCTTCTCTCAGCCTCAGAGTATAAGAGGCTGTGCCATGAGCCCAGTTAAGCTGTTTTGCCTTCATTAATGATTACATCACCTGTTCAGATACTCACATCACTGTAGTATGTGTGAACATCCATAGATAAATGCTAGCTTTTGGATTACAGGATCATGTAGTCCTTCACATACTAGTCTGGACTGTCTAATCTAGTTCCCTGCATATCAGTATGGTAGAATTCATGCTATGAACATGACTATATTGTCACCAGGCTCAGAATGAGCTACAATGTTTAGTTCTGATTTCAGTCTTAACAGACCTAAAAGTAATGGCAACAAAATTAAAGTTCAACTCCAACCGGTAACAGCTTCTGTACATGCAGACAAGAACCTGCATGTTATGCATGACTTCCGTAGGCTGCACTTTCATTAATAAGCAACAATTTTGTCACCTTTAGCCAAAGATGTTCCCAGAGGGCACACTTCCTACATTGCTACCTTCTGCTCCTGCCAGTCAGGTCATCAGGTCTTTTGCTAATTACATTTAGTTCCCCTTTCCCACTAAAAAAAACCTTAGTAAACTGTATGAAATTTGTGCTTTATTGAAGCTGAACCAACGTTACTTACCTCATCATACATAAACTGAAGTGTGAGTGCAGATTTGCCCACACCTCCACTGCCAACCATAATTACTTTATGGAGGGCCAAGGAACTCTGGTTCTTGCTCTTGCTGGCAGCCATTGTCCTGCTTGCCACAGATCAAGTGCCAGGCAACCAATTAGATCTGCAGACAGAAGAAACATAGTAGCCATCCGTGACATTGGTGACATCATGGTAACACGCTGGTAAAGTGTTTCACTAGTGCTGAAAGACCAGATTAAAACCCTGCCCAGCAAGTTCAAAGAATAGGCACTGGTAAGCAAAACATGTCTAAAGTATGAGTAGGACAAGGCATTAGAACAAAAACCTTCTATTTGTGACAACAGTAAAATTAATAAAAGCGCCAAAGGTTTCTAAGAAGCCACTCCTATTCGTAAGCCCATCCTACAAGACTACTGTTTAGAGCAGTTTCCAAGGAAAACCCCACTTTCTCAAACAACATGAAATTAAGCGGTTTTTATTGTTCTCGTTTTAAGGCTTTACACCTTTCCAAAATATTTCTTTAATGTTGATACAGCTATACCTTAGATCTGCTTATAGGTAGAAATCTGGCTTTTGATCTCCTCCCTACGTAGGCTCAGAAAAAAGCAGAGATACACAGCAAATTGGCAGAACAAGTTGCAGAAAGTCTTATGACATGGCATTAGCATTTATTTTACAATCTTCCTGCCTTTTGATGCTGCAAATCTAATTTGCTTTGAGGGGGGAAAAAAAAAAACAACTTGCTTTACTTCAAGAAATTCTCAGTTCCTATTCTTCTCCTGATGTTGCAAAGCCATAAAGGAGTAAGCTTCAATAAACAAGCCCTAGCTAACAAGCCTTTGTTTGTGTGTTATGCAAGCCTAGTAATTAAGTGCTGGAGACTTCTTAAAAATAATACTGCCCTTTTTTGTTTGTTTGTTTTTTTAAGAGTGGCTGGACACAGTAGTTGTACCAAAAGCACAAGCAGTAGCTGCCACACTGATTAGCACAGAGCAGCATCTCTATGGACAGCACATGGAGGATAAAAGCAGAAGCAACTGATACAAAAAGATGTGACAGCAGTCAGGACTCCCACATTTTTTCTAGAAAAAATCCCCCAATGTGCATATTTCAGACACATCACGGTATAAGGGAAATTCTGGGGTAGTGACCCTGGTGTCCTCAGAGAACAACAAAGGACCCCCGCTGTTCATCTCCTGGTGGAGTGCTGCAAGGAGACCAGCAGACTGTTCAGAAAACACTGCTGTAGCAAGTGGCTACATCAGCCTTGATTTACAGCTGCACACTAATCCAGAAGCACAGAAACGATGGGCCTACCAGGAATCTCAAAGAAAGACACTGGAACTGCCACACCAACACCATCTAGTTCTACTGTATGGAAATACAAGGCCTACGGTAGAAGTTATTGAGTACTCCACTGGAAAAAACTTCAGGGCAACCAGTTGCCCTAAACAAAATTAACCAGAGACTAAGGGATCATCAGCCTACAAACATACCATAAGACTATTTAGCCTGGAAAGGGACCTTTGGATGCTGTCCAGTACAAACTTCCCCCTTAAAGCAGTTTGCTCCAAGCAACCAAGTTCATGTGCCCAGTGTTTTGAGCCTGACAATTGCATGGCCAGCCTGGACAACTTCCCCAGGGTACACTGATGGTGATGATTTTTTTCCCCCCTTGTCACGACTTGATGTTCTGAAAAGCAACAAATCAAACTAAGTTCTCGTTGACAACTGCATACAAGAACAAACATGCCCACAATCAAGAATTGCCCTCAGGACACCATTTTCAAACATCTGAGCAGCAGTATTTTTCCATGCAGAGCTTTTTACTCACACCTGTTTGCTACATACATTTAGTACAGTAATGCAAATTAATCATCTTTAAAGGTTCATTCAGTGATAAACACGGGTAAGTGAGGACAGATATTTTCCCCTGGTAATCTTCTCTATTATGTTATACATCAGCTCCCTCATCCAGGACACTCCTTAGTATAGAAATGGGATGTAACAACTCCTACTTCTCCACAGGTTTTCCCTGTACAGCGCAAAAACACATTTGTTGGGGACAGTGAATTCAGCCTTTGGACAGACATTCTAAATCACAAGAAGATTGCAAGATTGATTTTTAATTCTTAGTCACCAGAGAGGAAAAGAACAGAGCTCCCTGCCACGGAAATGTGGAAAAACTGGGAGAAAACACAACAAGCAGCATTTGGACTCCAGAAGTTGTTGCTGAAAGGCTTGCTTTGCCTATGGTCCACATGGCAAACTAGAATTCAGCTTTCTTGCACATACACACTCAAGACCTAAGAGCTACAGACTGACCACACAGTGAGATAGTTTGGGGACTTTCTGTGTTCCCAAAATAACACAGCTTGCTCCTGGTAGGTTATAGAGAATTCTGTTTTGTCCTAGTTCAAGAGTAGTCTGTCCTGATAGCAGTAGTTAAGCTGCTTTCTGGAGAAGTCAAGTGACCCTTAGCTACTTTTCAGTGTAACTGTGACTGATTTTAACCTGTGAATGTTCCTTTAACAAGCATCCTATTAATTGTTGTAACTGTTGTGCTACCTAACACAAAGCTTTCAAGGGAAACATTTTTCTGTCATCACAAATTTAGGAATACATAATAAGCAGCAGAACTAAGTCCACTGTGCTATGTAAGAGCAATAAAGAGACTATTTAGTAACAGCCAAGAGAGAAGATAGCAAATTTCTCCCTCCTGTCAATACAAACACCACATCTTTAACTGGTTGAAGAATAGTTGCCTTTTAGGTAAAATACTCACAAACTTGATTTAGTACAAGCTCATCATAGAGGTAAGTGAGGAGAATATCTAAATGCTTCCTTTGCTATCCCACCTCAACTGGCCTGTAGCAACTGCAAGGTCTGTCTTACAGTATTACTCAGCTTGTAATCAAAGTATACTGTTAAACAAAACCCATCCAGTAGCATATAAATTTACAGTTCAATTGTATCTAAAGCTCTTAAAGACCAAGGTACTTGATCTTCCCTGCAGAGCTGTCACAAGTGCCACTTGAATCTTTCAGAGCATCAGGACTGCATGAACCCTCTGAGTGCAGGAGGACACTCACAACACAGCCCCGATGCTGAACACGCTCAGTGAGGTCCCAGACGCTTCACACAAAGCGTCTCTTCTTCAGTGGCACCAGAGAGAGCGTGGCCCCCTCCAGCCCCAGCGTAGCCAGGCAGTACAGGGGACAAGGCGAGGCTGGAGCAGTGACACAGGATTGACACAGACAGTGTCAGTGCAGAAGTACCAGTGCTTGCAGGACAACAGGCTGATAGCACATCACTGGTTCAGAAAGGGGCACGGTGAGATTTTAATAGGAATACTCTAATAGAACAAGAAAAGGCAATGGAGCAAATTGTTTGTTTACTTGTATTTTCACCTCTGCAGCCCAAGAAACAGTTTACACATTATGGTTCAAAGCTCACAACTAACAGTTCCTTGAGGTTGAAAAAAAAAAAAAATCTGTTAACACAAGTGGAAGCTTTTCCTCAGACATCCCTGAGTAAGGAAGGATGAATTTTCTTACTATTCTGCAGATTAAATATCCTTGAGGCAACCAAGACACTGACAATAACTCATCTGTTCACAGAAAAGCATTTCTTGGGAAATCCTACCACCAAAAATGTAGCAGTGTCTAGAAGAATCTGTGACGGCAGCAGTTGCTTTAAAACATTACTCAATTCCCTTCAGTTTAAGGGAATGTAAATTTAAGGCAAAGAGTCTTAATACACCTGCCGAAGAGCTCACTCTGAACAAGTGTCCAGACAAGACACCCAATGCTGTAGTAAGTATCCCTCATCTCCCACATTGCTTTTTACTTGTTGTTTGGGTATGGTTTATTTCCAGCAAGATTTACTCTCCTCTGACAGGAAGAGAAGTAATCCAGTCTATGGCAGTAGGTCAAGCTATTTAATTTCCATCTGTCATTTTACCCTCAAGTTTAATGACACTATGTTGAACTTCATAAGATAACTGTCATAAGCTCTAAAATAAATAAATAAATAAATAAATAAGACCCTGACCTTCTGAAAGATTGTTGGGGTTTTTTTTGAGGGGAAGGAAGGGAGCAGAGGGTGGGGGGTTTCTTCTGGTTCATCCTGCTTTGAAGTAAAGTGCTAGACAGACACCATGTCAGAGAATAAACCTTTTCAGGCAGTCTTTCATCTTTAAGAAATCAGAATTAATTACCTACTTCATCTGTTTTAAAAGATAAGGATTAAGCCATTGACTTGATAACTCTACACTTATTTTATAATAGGTAACACAAAGCCCTATACACAATAGGAGCGGTGTGATGCTAGTGTGAAAGATGCTCTTCAGACCAAGAAAGGAAGGTTACATCAGCCACAGGCTGCCCACATGAAGCAGAGCAGGATCTACAAATCAAACCAGAGGAGTTACTAATCAGCTGTTTTGATTTAAACTTCTGAAGATCTGTTCTTGGCCACAGGACTAATCAAACCATGCCATCTCCAACGTTAAGATATCTAACCCCAAGAGCTCAGCAATTATTTCAGCCTTCCCTTGTCTTATCTGTTTAGTTCACAACTTCTCCAGGTTAACTAAGGCCCCCTGCACAATGTTGTGCCATTCTTGGCTGGTCCCTCGAAACCGAGCACTTCAAGGCAATTGTTTATAAACATCTTAATAAACTCCTTTCAAACTGCTTTTTCTCCACCCTCTCCTCAACATAAACAGTTAAACTGCTCTGAACACAGTTTACAAACAGGACTGGTTTACCTAACACCAAGACTCAAAGGCTATTACTGAATAACTCCACAGATTTCAAAACAGACCGTGCTTTTACATCCCTTTTTGCTTCAGCGTGCATTAAGACTCCACAGTTATACATCACTTAAAGGAAAAAGCACTTGTCAGTTCACAAGAAAGGAGCCCATTCTGCAACAGCCCATGCAAATACATAGGAAAAAAACATGAGAAGCTTCACTAAGGCTACATGTTGTCAAATAAATATTCTGTTAATAAATAAATAAAAAAAATTCTAGGCCCTCTGAAGGCTTTAATTGGACTTGCTTCCAGTTCTTCCATTCAGCTTGAGATTTAAAACTGAAATAAAGCTCTAATCTCAAAATTGCTGAGATCAGCCCTTG